AAGAAATACCAAAATAAATCTGATGCTCTTCAGAACCTCAGAATACATCACCTTCAAAAACCAAGTCTGGAATAGTTCTTCTTGTTGAAAACTTCATCCAGTCAATTTTCTCTTTTTAGAGTTGAGAAAGGGGTGAGAAATAAAAAAAAGAGAGTTAAACGTGCATATTTAAAAGTGTTAATAGTGGTTGTATTCAAACAAAACACCTTCTCTGAGTGCTGGCAGGGGGGCCCTCTGTTCACTGACAAGGTGCTGTTGAACAGGATGCTTTAAATATTATTCATTATGTAATTTCTCTAATTTGGGGTCCTGGGGGACATCAGATTTTTCTTATTAGTCCATAACTTAACAATTTGGTAAATGGACTGTTCATTAGGGATTGCCCATCCCGAGTGCACAGCCTTGGGATCAAACCCCTGACTTTCTGACTGGGACATGATCAACCCAACCTGTGAGCCTCAGCTGCCCCTTTGAGTTTCTTTTAGAATAATTGCTTTGACTGAAACTAGTGTTGGGTGGTATGAACAATATCTTACATCACGATATGAGTAATTTCAAATCACGGTAACAGTATATATCGCGGTTTGTTTTTTCCCCCCCTGTAAATTCAGTTAATGGCTTGAAAATAAAACTACTGTCACATTTGTTTATTTTCCTTCTATTTTTAAACTTGGATTTGTATACAAATGCAAACAAAATGCCGGACCAGTCAGGCCATCTTTTATCATATGGCGTACCTTTGGCGAAAGACTCTGCCAAGCTCTTTTGAATGAGAGGAGCTGCTGCAGCCTTAGTTTTTGGTGCAGCAGGTGCACCACACATCTTTTGGCTCTCATAATAGAGCCTGGCGTGTTTCAGCCACACGACACTCTTTGCATACTATTGTTTTTTGATCATTGTCGGATTTTCTAAATCCGAATCTCCAGACAACCAATGTCGCGACTCGCGCCCTTTTTCGGAACAAGTTTCTCCTCCTCTTTCTCACGTTGGGTGGGTCGGGCTGCCTCCGTTTGCTCGGTACTGCCACTAATCTCTGCGTCCACCATGACCACCACCAGTGAAGCAGTTTCTTCTTCGTGGAAACTATGCCAAGCAGTCTGCTGGACATGCTGGTGATTATAGAGAGCACACCCAAACCTGACCAATCAAACGGAGCAAACAAATTTCGCACAACATGCTGGTGAATATACAGGAATCCACCTGAACGGATGCGCTTTGGCTTTCCTGTTAGCGAGCACAGACAACTACACACTGACTCAGAGAGATGCAGCAGACATCTGCTCTCTCGATCCGGTATGAAGGGTATAACAAAATTTGTACCGGTAGACACTTTATACCGTCACACAGTATATACTGTCATACCACACAACCCTAACTGTAAGGGTCTTACTAAAACTCAGTTATGTATAAAGTATGGACAGAATAATTCAGTCAAAACAACAGGATACGTTAATCTGCAAAAATCAACAGTTAGAGAAACACTCCTATGCAGTAACCAATGAGTTAATAAGTTGGCATATTTATTTGTTAATTTCTTGTCTCCATAACAGTTTTCTCTCTCCGTGGTGTTAAGTGATTTGAATATACATTTCATCAAACGGTTACCACAGTCAAACACTACCTTCGCAGCCTTCCCTAAGCGCTTTCCTTTGGAGAAGCGATATGTAGTCTCAGCAGTCATCTCTTATAGCTCCTCTTCTCACTGAAAGGCTTGCTGCTGTCTCTCCAGAGTAGATGGTGCTCTGCATTGTGCCCTCCACCATTTTAGACTGGCAGATGAAACAGCACAAGGAGCTTTCTCTCTCTGCATGTGCCTGTGCGGGGAGCTCGGCGAGAAAGAGGGAGAGTGAGTGCACCATTAGAGGAGAAAAGCGAAATCACCTCAGGTTATCTGACGGCTTTTGTGACAGCCTGATAAGGAAAAAAAATTCAAAACTGAGACTGAAAAACTGGGTGAGCGGAGAAAAGAACAGTGAGAGTGAAAGACCAGGAGAGATTTGAGCCTGTCAGAAATACACAGCATAAAACATTATTTAAGTCGTTTTCAGTGGGCATGCATCAAGCAGTGTTAAACCTTTGAGTGCTGGTTAGGGAAGGACAGTGTTGACACGTTTTTTTGTTTTTTTTTCCCCTTTCTCAAACTTAAAACTGCATAAAATCTATCTTGTTGCAACACTTTCTCTATAGTACCAACAAAATGCACATTTTAGCCTCAGTTATTTACAGCAACCCACTGTGGTGTCCTGAAATGCAGTAAAATACATCTATTAGTCAAGTGTCTTGAACGCTGCACTTCCCCTACGTTGTTAAACAACACACTATTTTCTTATGCAGCAAGTAACTTGACTCATACTCCTGAAAAAGAAACATTGAAATGACTAAAAGTCTTTAAATTTTCAACTAGGTCTTAATCATACGTTCCATTAGGTTGGTTCTGATTGAGGGTATTTAGGCTGTGAACAGAGTGCTCTGAGCAGAAGTGGCACCTATTGAGAAGAAGACTGTGATTACAGTAATCAAGACTTTCAACAAGAAGAGGGAAGAAAAGGAGAGGAGATTAGTAGATAGTGATGGACCAAAGAAAGAAAAAGATTATGGGTTATTAAATGAATGTAATGTTTGATAATATGGGTTCATGTGGATGCATAACGCATATTTTATCTACTTTTTAGCTAGTTTGGGAAGATGAGGATAAAACTCTACGTGAAGACATGGATATAAAGACTTTTTCTATCATCAAAATTGTCCAAACCAACAGAGCTTTTTCCACAAATAATGCAGTTTGCACGTGACAGTCCTCGGGCCAGTTTGTGTCTCAGTGTAAGCTTTTTAGAGTGTTTATGCATTTCTACCTCTGCCAGTGACAGCATGTGTTCGGCAGAGTATGAAAAAGCTCTTTCGATTGGGGATTGTAAGCCAGTGTGGAGGACCTCCCTCCTTCTTACACTCCCTTCCCCCACCCCTCTCCAATCACTTCCTTTCTGTCTCTTCTCCCCACTGTGGATCCGGCTTAGGCACGGCCTGATGGGATCTCCCCAAAGCCTCACCATCACCATGGTCCCTCCTGTGGTTGTGGGCCGGTACTGGCCTTGGTAATTGATCCCTCTGGGTGCTGCTGGCAGATCCAACAGTGGGTTGAACAGAATCACCACTAAGAGGACAGCTGCCTGGCCAGCCTAGACAGACCGAGTGAAAAAGTGAAAGAAACGGAGCCTGTTGCTACTTAGCGTTAGCTTGGTCTGCCAGCATGCTTGCAAATGGAGCCAAGTCAGCAAGTCACCTGGGCCTTGGAAAATACCAAGATCTCCATTTTGGAAAGCTTGTAAAAAAAAAACCTGAAAGAGAGTCTGCTTAACAGGACACATCAACAACCTAAGATGCCTGCTAAGCTAACAGTGGTGTTTCGACCAGCTAGCTATTAAACTATCACTGTATTCCATCCTCAGTGTCAAACACTGCTGCACTGAACCCTGAAGAGAGAAAATCCTTTTTATTCATCTGTGACTGACGCTATGAGTAAGTATTTTATACATGAGAACTGTAGAACACAACAGTGACGACATGCTATTCTTTTCAGGAGCCACAATCATGTGTTTGCATTGTCAATCTGTGTAATGTTTGACTTACTCAAGAGCAGATTTACAAAAGTTATTGCTGTAGTATTTGCTGAAAACAATAACTTTCAAGAGAAATATAATTTAAAGTGCTAATAAAACTTTAGCTGCAGTTGTGTTGGTGTATTTCCTCACATAGGACAGAGATTTTTTGAACAATGATGTGTCAGTGGCATGTCCAAAAGACATGACAGAAACCTACAGCCATACCGGCAGAACTAAGTATTTTTATTTCTAAACTGTATTCCAAGTTTAAAGCTGGTGTGTAACGATGCGGAGGTGTTTATGTTAAACAGTTTCAGTGTTTAACATGTTGATCATTACCATAGCTGAAAAAACAATTTCAACAGAAGAAAAACACGACACATTTCTTTTTTAGATGTTCAGATGCACGGTAGCTTAAAGGGAGAACTGTATAAAACAGATGATTATGAAATAATGAAGAATGAGTAAATAATTTATTTTTACTCAATGTTTTAAATGGGTCAGAATAACCTCTAAATTTAATCCCTTGGCATAACAAGACGTCTCACCAGCTGCCAGGACTCTCTCCTGTCCTCTCTCCATATAACAAATTTTCAAGGGGATTCAAATTAGCACCAAAAATACTTCACCCGTGTTTCACCATATGACACAGCATTTTTCTGGCTTTACATGATGCTCTCTTGTCTGTGTCTACATTGATAGATATGAATTACTCTCCTCATATTTAGTGAGTTAAAGCAGAGAGTATATGTAGCCAAGAATGTTTGGAAATTCAGAGGAGCACGGTGATATTAAGAGGCAGTAGTTTTTTATAAATGTATGTTTTTGTTTTGTTTTTAATTCATTGTCATGAAAATCAGCATCTCTCTTTGTATCTTCTAACACTGGTGATTGACTGATGCGTGCTTGTTGGGTTTCACAGTGCATACAATTGAAAATGTGTAAGGAAAGTATCGACTCATACATTCTCTGTTTAAAGCACTGTTTATACTTTCATTATACCGCTCAATATGTTTTTGTTTGAATAGAAAATCACTACTAGCTGTTGAATGTTTTCTAAATCTTTGAATCACTGGTTTGCATAAAAATGACTCTGCTGTTCTCCAACACTTGATTGTGCACCTTATACAAACACAAGCACAACACAGCTCATCGGGTGGTACGAGCAGAGTTAACACTCTGCATGACACCATGGTGAGACAAATTGATAATGGTGTTGGTGGTGTTGGTGATGGCTGTATGAATACTGTGAATCTTTGAGTCTGGGGAAAAGAAAACATTCAAAAGAGAGCGCTGTATCGTAGTGATGAACTTGATAACTAAACCGCCTCCCCCTCTCCTCTCCCCTTTTTCCCTCAGGCTCTATGACGCGACAAGAGTCCCCCTCAACACTCTTGCACTATGGAGAGCATTGATGACCCCTTGACAGACAGCCAAAAATCATCTACCAACACCACCAACACCACCCTCCCAACACCACCAACATCACAGCACCTCCACTCGAACCCCGGTCCCGCAAAAGCAGGAAGCGACACAAGCAGCTGCAGAGCACCGCAGGCCTCATGGAGGCAAAGAGGTACAACAGAGAGCCGCTTCATATCCTTGAGAAATCATTTGAGGATATTTGAATGGAGCCGGTGATATCATTTATTTTGTACATCACAGCTTAAAGTTTAATTTATTTATCAAGACAGGAAATGAAATAACACTTTCTATAACTCTCAATGGTTTATTTTTAACTTTGAGATAGGAGATACTGCTAAATCTCAGTTCTCGGGTGACTGAGTTTTGTCATCGTTATCTCCTTTCTGAAATCTGGTGAAAACATTTTTAAATGACATTTTTGATTTCTGGGACTACAAACACATAATTTTCCAGCCTAAGAAAAAGATGCAAACAAAAGGAAGTTCGAAAACACTCGCATATCAAGATACAATTTAAACAGCCGCCTGCTTGTTTGATATCTCTATTTGGTTTTCTCGTTTTACATCAGCTCACCAGCTCCCTAGTGTGTGTTTAAACACAGGAAATCCATGTGTGCAGCAATACCAGTAAAACCCACCGGCTTATTTTCAGCTTGTTTTGACTTTGCTTTATTGGCATGCTTTGATATTGTCTTTAAAGTACTGTGTCAGATGGCGTCTGTGTGCTCAAATAAACCAAGGCGCCAGACAGACTCTGATATTAATGCAAGTGATCTGGAAACACAGAATAGCTATGTAGTAAATTCAACTTACACTGCAGTCAGAGGGATGAGGCTGAAGTCATAAAAATGCCCAGTCTCATAGAGGTTCAGAAAACCAGGCTCCTCTGTCGGTCAATATTGTCATCTTTTATGGCCGCTGTTATTATTTGCCTCCAAGAAAAAATATCTTGTCTGCCCGCTTTCCAGTCCAGACAGCAAGTCCAGTAGATTTGACACTATAAATAGAAATGCATGCTGTGAACTCAGATCGTCTTACAGTGTGTCATATAAGTTTATTGCCTGTTTACGAAAGCAAAGAGCTATCTAAGATTGGATTTAAGCATTTGATTCCATGATATACTGCAGAAAGGGACACGCTCCCATATTGCCTCCAATCATCTGATCTCATCCAGTCCAATGCAACACAGCAACCTACATGAATACACAATAAGACGAGATATTATCTCGACATTACATTGTGTTGAGGGTTATAAAACAAACCAGTGACATTGTGTTGTTCCATTCTTGAAGCCAATGTTGTTGAAGAGCAACGCTAAATCTGTTCTAATGTTTCCTCTTGAGCATTCGACTTCCAATCATATTGAAGCATGTAGATAGTGAGCTGTGTTTGCTTTGATGTTCAGAAGAAATGCAGTATGAAAGGGTTGATAATGACATAACACCCCAGATAGCTTTGAACTCTCTCTTAATGTGGAATGGGGCCTAGTGTCTGGAGGCCTGTGCATACATGTTCATGTGTTTTGATCTCAATATCTGCTTCAGGCATTATCCAACTTCACAGCATGTAATGAGCAATTTCCCTTTCCTGATTAACCTGTGGATCATTCCTAACCTACAAGTTCACTTATAAATATTCATTACCAAAGCTATTGTGTCGTAGATCCAGCTGGAAGTGTGCATGACTGCACAAGACTTAACATAAAACAGCTAGGGCAGGAACAAGCATTAGAAACAAGTAGTGTGTGTTGATGCAAAAAGCAGTAGCACTTTCCAATGACGGATGAGCAGAGGGGCTTAATTCCATTAGCTGATGTTTCAGCACTACCTTGCCGTCTTCCAGGAATGTGAAAATGATTCAATCAATTAATCAACTGCATACTCTTAGGATTTTGCATTATTCACATCTATCAGAGTCAAGATAAAGAGTTTAGAGAAGCAAAGTGGATCAATTTTTCTTTCATGCCGGCCTATTTACACATTAACTGTGTGTGCCACGATGCTGTGGCATTTTGAAGGCAGCCAGCGTGAGTTCACACAGAGAGGAAATGTCAGGCTGAGGCCATGTGTTTGGGCGCATTGGCTCTACTCCTTCTTACTCCCAGCTGGAGAGCTACTACTCCATATGTGATTTGTATACTTCTCTTAAACGCTTGCAGCTGCGGCTGCATGCGCCTTCATTCGAATGCACATGTAAAATGCATGTGAAGGCCAGTACCAATGCATTCACTTTCTCATTTATACATCAAAGCATTTCAGCTTTGCCCAGAGACAGAAAGCTCTACTTAAGGTCCCCAAAATAAAATGTCGTTCCCTGCCCTCTATTGAACGCTGCTGGGTATGTATCAATATGTATTGAGTGGATTGCCTGCTCGCTCCATAACAAGAGAGAGCTGCACAAATTAGACATTTACACAGATGGATTCTCTCCATGACTTTCCCTTCTGTTACTTTGACACCTGCAGCAGTTATCAGTCTCACTCTGCTCTTGTTTGAACAGCCAGACCCCACTGTACTCAAAGTTTGCTCATGTGTTCAATAGTCAGATGGGCTCTGCATCACATTTCCCTCAACTCTGTATTCCACTGCACTAGAATGTGAAATATTCTCTCAGTGTTATAAGATATAAAATAGAGTAATATGGTCGTTTCCTGATAAACCCAAGGTAATAATCACCTAGGGCCTGTGAATTTTATTCATGGGGCGAAATCATCTCATATTCATCTGACATTCGTTCCTCTTTTTTAATAGAAGGCTTGCATTTCCCTGAGATGAGATTTGTGTGTGAGATTTATGGGTAGCCATTTGCCTCAGTGTGTGTGAGAAAAAGAGCAGCATAGAGAAGTATAAGAAAATTACCATAGTAGACAGACTGTGGTAGCTTACATACACAACACCATCTCTATCTCTGTCATCTATTTAAATCCACTCTCATTCAGTTCCATCCGGAGATTTTTGCCTTTTTCGCACTGATTCTGCCTTTTCTCCAATTATCAGTGACTTCATGCATGATGACTCCTTACAGTGGTAACATAGTGTCTCCAGAAAGACACAGCGCTGACACAGGAGCAGCAGAGTCCTCACAGTTTTCAAATATATTTTTTGGGCATTATTTACCTTTTAAGAGAGAGGACAGAGTTGAAATATGAGAGATAGAGAGAGAAGGGGGATGACATGAAGTACAGGGTCAGAGCTGGACTCGAACCTGCGACCGTTGCAGGGACCATGTTCCCCAAGTGTCAGGCGCAATTTAACCCACTAGGCTATCTGCGTGCCCTAAGTTCCTGCAGTTTGACAAATATAGAAAAGTAGAAAAACTTTTTTTTTTTTAATCATTTATCAATATCGATATCAATAACGAACTTTAAAAAAATAAAAAATCATTGAATTGCTGGATAATGACTTTCTAGTTGACTCAATATGTAACCTATTAGTTACAGTATGAACTACACTTACAGGACAGTCTAAAAGAAACATGTTTCTACTTTCCTGATTATATTACTGGGTAAAAAAATAAACAAATATTAAAAATATCTTTATAATAAATTTTAAAAACAGGTAAAATTAGCTGCAAATGTATTGGTAATGATAGTTTAAATGTAAATAAGAAAGTGGTTTAATGCCAATTTTAGCTTCTGCCTTATGTTAGCAGCTAATGTTAAGGACATTACCTTCTTCTCACATAACACGTTTAAAAGTTAGCTTGTGGTTGACCCTCAGTGATGTCAAGCTTAATCCATGTCAGCTATGGCTGAATCTGACTGATGTCAATAAGAAACCTGTCCAATAATCTACAGCAGGCAAATTTATAGGTAATGATAGCATGAATGTTAATAAGGAAGTGGTTAAATGCTAATATTAGCTGCTACCGTATGTTAGCTTTTCAGGACATTACATTTGTGTCACACCCTCAGTCATGTCAAGCTCATTCCATGTCAGCTATGGCTGAATCAGAAATATGCCAAGAAGAAACCTGTCCAATAATCTACAGCAAGCACCGGTACATAGCTATTGGACTTGATTAGACCCAGGAACTGATGTAGCACTGTAGTACCCCCACTAACTAACCCTCATGACATGCAGCCAAAAAAATTCACTGACCAAACATTACATGATGCTAATCAGCCAAGCAAATATTTTACCAGCATCAGCATAGCAAGCGAAACAGAGATATACTCACAGAAGGATGAGCTGAGGACACTGCTATAGACATAGTGGGAGGGAATGAGTGAGTCATTTTAGTGGTAGACATGGCGAGCTCCAAACTGAGGGTTCACTACAGAAACAGAGGGTTAGAAGATCAAACTAATCCTCAAAGGCATTTTGAGCCAGTATGTCTCTTCTATTTAGAAACGGTGCCAGTTATTTAAAGTGCCAATGTCAAATGATCAACAGATCCTTCAAGCAGTAGCCACTCACACACAGAGAGCATAAAAACCATCTGACTGCTGACACAGTCGTTCATTGGCTAATTATGAGCAGATGTTCACATTTTGTGTCAACGTTAAAATCTTTTAGCGACCCACTCACAAGGAAATTCCAGCCTGAATATTAAATGTCCACCATTCTCACAGAACCAGAGGAAAAGCAAAGCAGCTGTGAAAGCTGCAGAAGTATGATGTGATAATCTTTAACCAAACAAGAATAGAAAGAGAGTCAGACCTAGGGCTGGGGGATATGACCTCAAATCAAGATCAAATTATATTGAGCAGTTCACCTCGATAATGATAAATGGACGATAACTATTCCACAAACTGCTCACCCCATCCCACATTAACTTAATCTACTTCAGCCAACTTTTGATCCGTCCTCCATCTCCTCACCTGTCTTTCCCTCTTTGTTATGGACTGGATGGGGTGGAGTCCTGTCTCCCACATAGGACAGTGTTTTCAAGGGACATGAGACCATAGCGTACCTACACACATCCAAAACCAACCTTTTTTTTTTAAACCAAATATACCGATATGGGCAAAATGATGTTAGTTACTATCGTAAATGTTGATACAGGTAAATTTTCAGTTTATCGCCCCGCCCTAGTCAGACCACACCTTATCGTGACATCTTTAAAGTTTGATGATTGATTTTAAGAGCTTTTTTGTTCCATTTAATCATCAGCCATTCACTGGAAACTGATATTATTAAACTGAAAATATATGCTTTCAATTGATGGAAAAATTCAGGGATTGTGGCGCATCTGCCCTTGAAATCTGTTTCTCTTACCAGACCACCAGGGATTTTAATTGATGGCTCCTGGGTATGAGATAATTAGACTGGTAGTTTGGCTCAAATATGGAATTTCATGTGTCTTTTTAATTGACCTGCTCATGAATCAGGAAGTAGGGAAACAAAAACATTTGTTAGACATGAGTACCTTATAAAACTTACAACTCTGAATACAACAGCACAGCATCTGAGCTCCCAATCTTGAATGATGTCAGAGGAAAATAGCTGCTGTATGAATACGGTCGATGGGATTAAACACCTGTTGGAGCAGCAGTCACACTCAAACATGCCCGTGCTTTAAGCTGTTCACCTCGGGGCCATTTCATGCCCGGCTTTTACAGAACCATGACATTATCTCTATTAAAGCCCCGCTCATTTGTATGTTTATTATTCCCACCGCATTCAGACATTGTCATCTGTGATACATGCTAGTACTCCTTTCAACACCTGCCCCTTTCATGGTAATTTGCACCCTGTGAAATCATCACAAGTTCATTATAATGAATTAAGCTTCGGTGGCAATGCAGTAGTCATGTAAGGCATCCCCATCTGCAGCAAGTTGGCTGTGTAACTAGCGGGGGCCAGATGGTGAGGAGGCTTCCAGATTTGTCTTTCTATGGTAGATAAATTGTTTCTCACTCTCTGCACTGCGAGACTTGCTTTGTTGTTGGGTTACACCCGCTGAAGAATTGTAAATATTTGACAGGCAGAACAAAGAGAGAGTAAGCTGTTGAGTTTTTATTTTTCCTCCTCTCACGATGCCATCAGAGAGCTGTAATTAGCACCTCAATGTGGTGGGGAGAATTCTGTATGCACAATGCTTTATAGCAACACACATTAGTTTGCCCCTGAAAACGAGCGTTTGTACTCCGAAAGGAAAAGATGATGCTACTGAAAGATGCAGGATTTATTTCATTAGTTAATTTCACAAGCTAGTTAATTGTCTGCTGACCAGGAAGTGACATTCAGCATACAAGCATACTCATATCAATCCTGTTATCTGTTTCTTGCCAGGAGGAGGATAACAGACAAAACAAAACAATCCGTAGAAAATGCCAAACTTTTAAATAATAAAATTTCTGCATCAATACCTCCTTATGAGCAGTCCAACTTACCAGAGGGGTTTATAAGACCTTGAGTCTATGAGGACAACTGTGGGCTGAAACAATCATCACATCTTCTCTCTCTTGATTTCACAGGTCTCATAACAAAGCCACAGATGGGAAAACAAAGGAAGCACTGTTCAAGGGATCGAGCTGTCCCCGGGACTCTGGACAAACTGCTCGCTGTAAAACACCCTCTATATCCTGTGACTGGCTCCTCTGGGTCTCTGACTGCTCCCTCCTGCTATCTGTCATTGGGTCAAAATGTTGTGTCCACTCTCTCTCCTGCTCTGTAAAGTTAGCAGCGCCTGCTCGTGCCACGGAGGATCAGACACCTTAAAAATCCCATGAATGCAGGTTTTCTTTCCCACCGGGGAGTCAGCTGTTAAAAACTGCTTGGGGATTCCCGCATCACATTCAAGCCTCTAGAGCGGGAGCTCCAGAGCAAAGACAGGATCATCACAGACCAGACCCTGTTGCTTTTCGGACCACCTCATGAGGCAGTAAAAACCGAACTGAGCACGCCCTGCTGTGAATAGGCCTTCTGCTGGAGAACACCTCCCATATTTTTATAGACCAAAGAGCAAAACAACAAATACTCGATCTTATGACAGAGCGGACCATTTGTCAAAGACCTACAGACTTAGCAAAGTTGCTGTTTGTTACACCACTGACAAAAAAAACAGCCCCTACAGGGCCACCATGCACAAGGGGATGGATGCAAACTGAACCTTGAGCCAAGTGGCAGATGAACTGTACACAATCAAGGCGTGCTTTTAAAACTTTGAGGACTTTTTTTTCTTTTTTTTTTCTCAGACTAAGCCCACCACTGTATTTTCGAACTGGAGATATAGGTACTACATATGTATAACAGTGTATCAAAAAAAAAAAAAACTGATTTGCATTTTTACGTAGCTACAGTTGGGACAGATCTAGGGAAACATTGTCGAGTTGGAAACAGAGAGCAAATCATATCAGAGATGATGATTATTTACTGAGTCTATGAATGCTGTTGAGTCTGAAAAGGAGGAGTAAAGAAATGTCATTAAATGTATTTTAAAAGGCCCTAAAAAGTTATATATTTAACAGTTTTATATGTTGTACCTTTGTAGAGAAGCTTATTGGACTTAAAATGTGGTCATAATGGCAGTTTAGTAGGATGTGAACACACGCTGTTGTTCTCATACTGCTGGCTCATAGTCCCAGGTTTTCTGTTCACACCTCAGTAGCTGCTTTATTTTCATGATCATCTACAAGTCACTGTCTATCAGAAGCATTAAAGAAAAAAAGGAAAGTGACACAATTTATTGAGGACTGATCTGCAGCCAACTGAACATTGTAAATCTATGGTAGTCAGTGGAAGCCATTGAAATCTGCTAATTTGCTATGATATTGTATTGTACACGGTGTGGAATACTGACTCATTTCCTCTCTATGGGTTTTGATCTCTTAATTTATTTTTGTGCTTGTGTTTGTTCGCACAAACTGGCCTCTCTCCAACAGAAATGAATACAAGAGGAAGGAGAGAAAGAGAGTGAGAGAGAGAGAGAAAGCTGAGGAAGCATTGCAGAAGTATTATAGTCATTTACGTACATTTTTTTATCATGAAATATTTTAAGAATAAATTAAATACATGAAAAGTCATCTGCAAATTTAGATGGTCTTGGTGTTCAAGATCAAGGGAAATTTCAAATGATCCTGTTTGAGACTTGAAAGTGTGATTTTCTTTACCAGGTGGTAAACTGGATTGATGACCAGATGAAGTTCAAGTCTGAGATGCCTCCAATCCAGGTCCTCATTCTTTGGTGTACCCGGTGAATACTTGGTGTTGATAACTTGAAAGTTACCAAAAAGAAATCTCACAATCCAATTTTTTCCCTTGAAAGCTCTTTTTTAACCTTCAAATATATGTTCTTTTTCCATTAAACTGGCAGGACGAGGACATATATCTCTTTTCTATTCTAAAACCTGTGCAGCGTGACTCAAAAACACTGAAAAAGAAACAAAACGTGAAAAGGATTCAGTTTCAAGGGGCAAATCTTCAAGGCACCAGAAAGGTCTGGGTTGGTTTACTCTCTTCTGAGTTTACCAAATATTCTTTACATCATTAGATTGGTTTTATGATAAAGCTCACCACACTATAGCAAAAGCAAAAGCAGTGCCTCTGCTTTTTTACACATTATTCTTTCTGAATCTACTTTTTTAAAATATTCACTCACTTCTCTTGTCTTAAGCCTGGAAGGAAAACATGAGGTGTTGACTGAAGCATGAGTGCTTGGCTGATTTTTTAAGGGGGCATTCAATCCTACCTTACAAGGCTTTCAGGACTTAAATTGAAACAAAAGAAAACAGAATATTCCCCGCTGAATAGACCAGTTTGTGGTGCAAAGTTTCAAGACTCTTGCTTAGATTGAGGCCAACACTTTTTTTGGTTTGATTTTTCTAGTGTCTTTTTGCTTTTTGATGTTTGAGCTTGAAATTTAAAGTAACTGTGTAAAACCTTTCTGACAGATTTACATAGAAAGGGTGCAGCGAAAAGTTTTTTTGTTTTTTTTTTTAAATCAGAAAAATCAGGATTATGCCACTCTGGTATCACTTGTAAAGTATGACTCTGATTCTGGACCACCCATGCAGACCTCCAAAGGTAAGTTAACTAGTGTCTGCAGAAGTGTTTTACAAAGAGGTCCAGTTTCTGACCTGGGAAAGTGTGTGTTAAAAAAAAAAAAAAAAAAAAAAAATCTATTTTAAGCCTCAAGCAAAGACAAACATGCTCCATTTAAACTGCTTTGGAGACACTGAACAATGAAAAATGTAAATTCTGAATATTAATATTTTACAGCTATGAAGAGATTTAACTATGAAAAGAGCAACTATTGTGTCTGACACTGAGCTGGAGGAGAAAAGAAAAGAAAAGAAAAGAAAAAAGTCTGTTGAATGAATTAATCCATCACAACATTCAATTATTCTTTCCACAGTACTGTTTCGAACAATGATGAATGCTGTCACCAGGCTTTCCAATACAGTTTTCAAGGGCTATTGAGTTGACTTGAGTTGATGACACTTGCGATAATAATGACTGTATCACAACAGTGCAGGCTGCTCACAGAGCTGGGCTCATTATCAGTCAATCTTCAGCTTTGTTCATAAACAACAGTTTAGTAGAAATGTGATACACTTTAAACTAATGAACTATATAGATTAGTGTTCAGTATTTATTAAAACCTGTGTAATACTGCTACATTTTTCAACGCTCTAGGATTCATGCATACATGAAGGATACAGTAAGTGACTGAATGCACAAGTTGTATCTCAAAAACTACATTCAGATTAAGGTTGTATGAGGTTCACAAAGATAAGCAATACTCATCACAAGTACTGTATGCACTGTTGGGTTTGTTAAGCCCGGTAGGCTCAGTCGTAGTCTGACCCTGAAGCCCCTAACAAAAACCCTGGTCCATTTGGAAATAGAGATCCCTGCACCATTGACCACAACGAAGTCTACAGTAATGTGCGATTGCCAGACCTCAACCAAAGTTTGCCAATCCAGTCCAGTAACTAAAGGGTGGAGGGACCATCTCTCCTTGGAACCTTACAATTTTGCATCTACAGCCACACTAGAGGTCCAGCGAACCCCCTTGAACCTAAACTACTCCTTTACCTCTGATAATGAGATGACTGTGAAACACAGAAACGTACCTTGATCACACAGCAAAGAGCACCTTACTTTGTAGTGGCAGCCATGTTTTTGGTTGACCTTCATTAGTCAGAGCGATGTATGAGCAGAGTTTGACAACAGGAGACCTTTTTCCCGTTGTCGACTTCACAACTACATCGCTGGTTTGAAGCCAGTAGACAAATAACATAAAGGTGATACAATGTTTTAATATTTAGAGGTAATTTTTAAAGCACAGAGAGAGAAGAATAACTTTTTACCCATAGATTATTCATTCTGTCTTTAATATATACAGTACACCTTAACAGCAGGGGCAGGATTTCATTGTTTGTAGTTTTTTAGGATTTATATTATTCATGGTAAACAGATTTATATCGACCAAAATGATGTTTATTGTTGTCAATCTAGACTGCTAAAAAAAAAATCATGAGTATTTTAGCTTTTCTTTCCTTTATCCCTACAACTACTTTACGCATATGCCCTTTTTGATCTATTCAGGTTTGGTTCGGCTTGAGCTTGTTATGAGTTACAGCTAACATTAGTATTCCAAGAAAATATATTTCTATTGAGACTAATATGTGATGTTGGTGTCAGCGAGCAGGTTGTCTAAATGGGCTCAACTATGGGCTGACATTTACTTACTTGACTGAGAATTCGGCCGGAACGACTGCATCAGTTTTGGTATAATGGGAAAATGAATAAACCTGTTATTTGTCAGGTTAAATAGAAGTTTCCTTTTCCCTCTTCCTGACCTGGCAGGCATCTCCAGCACAGTAGTGTTGGTTACTTTGTGCACCATGTCTCTGCTATGGAGCAGCATTGAAGCGTATAAACACATCAGTGGTCCCTCAGAAGTAAGTATACACGCTGCAAAATAGGGAGAAAAAAAAGACCAGGCACTCGCAGGTATATGGAAGTATTCGCTACAACTTTTTCTTCTATCCTCTATCACACCTGTGGGAATATGTATAAGCCTCTTCAAACAAAGAACAGAAATCTTTCAGGATCCTGTCCCACTTTGTGCAGGAAACAACGTCTTCTGATTCCAAGACAAACACAGAGAAGCAGAGGTCTTAACCCCAGTTCTCTTCGCTAAATCCCATTTTGAACCATTACTTGACTCATACTCCGAGAGCTAACACAGCAATCTGGCTGGATCATCGAGTGCACCGCCCTCTCTGACTCTGTGCACAGAGGAATATCTGGAGCCGGAAATGAGACCTCAGAGCAAACGAGTGGCGTCTTTCTCTCTGGGAGGCTGATTGTCAGGTGTGGGAGGTGGGGGGAGGATTGTTTAATTACATCAGATTGAATTCCAATAATCTGCTCTACATCCTTGAGGTTTTTTCTTTTTTTTTTTATTCTGACAGCATACAGAGTCATGCCTTCACACATTTTAATCTGATTATACCAGGACAATGTGGGGTTTCCTTGAGCCATGACTACAAGCAGGCTTTGTCATAAAGGCGCCCTACAGAGTATGACGACACAACTGGAAAGTCACATAGAGTACTTATAATGGAGTGAGCTGACTGGTGCCATAGGCGCCACCCCCCACCCCCTTATTTTCAGCTTCAAAGCCACGTTTATCAGCTTATTTCTCTTTTCGAGGGAAAGAGCACG